AATCGTACTTTTCGTTCCATAAGACTGTCCGGCCGGGCCCCGGATTGGAAATTTGACTCAGCGTTATCAGCACAATGTATCTGTAAGGCAAGCCGACAACAATACCCAATGAAGATGTTTATGCACGTATTACTACAGGAAACGTGACAGCTACGGGAAACTCGAGCTTGTGCGGCTCTTTTACCTGCACTGATCACGCCGTCTGCATAGAGATAGCTGATGGAGCAAAATGTGTCTGCGAGCCGGGATATGAAGGCAACGGGACTATTCTCTGTACAGGTAAAAAATAGTTCGTGTAGCCAGAACTGATTCTAGCTGTCCTCTGAATTTTTAAATTGTTACATTTGTAACAGACGTGATTTCAAACCGTGACAAAATGGCAAAAACCAAGGCTTTTGCTCCAAATTTTTTCAGATATTGATGAGTGCATGACGGGAGCTCATGTGTGCCTCCGTGACGAACTCTGCTTCAACAGGGAGGGATCGTACGCCTGCGCCTCGTGCTACCCCAACATAGCCCTGGTGGGAGGAGGGGGCCAACTCTTCGGCTCCTGTCCACATCAAACGGAGGGTACCTTTTACTGTGCAATCTACCGTATCAGTGGACTGTAACGTAGCCTATTCATTCCTTTTCAATTGGTCTTTGTACGCGATGGATGATGGCCTAACCCCCTCAAAAATTACAATTCCTGAGAATGTTGAAACAGCCGGATCTGAACTCACCTTACCGAAGAACGTTCTGCCGTACGGGAAGGTCGCCATCCGGCTGGAGGTCACGGTGGAGGAGACCTTGTCTGGACTCCGTGTCGTGACGTCAGCTGAGCAGTGGGTGAATGTCTTATCTTCGGCACTGGTGGCTGACATTGCCGGTGGCTCAGCAAAGTCACTCGCACGTGGCTCCGACATTGTCCTCGACGGTTCGTTTTCTACAGATCCAGACGCCATGGTGACAGACGCAGCAGACTTCACCTATAACTGGACCTGTGTAACAGAATCAGGTACGTTGTTGTAGTATACGTGGCATCTTCAAGTTTCTATCAGCCTCCTTACAATTTATCGGCATTTACAGAAGTTTATTACAGTTGTACGTTTATCAACTCGTATACTCCATATATCAACCCGTATACTCCATAATCCATGTTCTAACAACAACAGTTGTAATTTTCTAATCATGTTTTTCATGTATACTTTTGTTGAAAATTTTACATTCACATATCATTAAAAAAATTACATCAGCAAATGCTATGTTTTACCTTGGTATAGGAACTTCATGCGAAGACGTTTTTGGTGATGGTGGAACCAGCCAATCGTATGTCATTTCTTCCAACAACCTCCAACCGAGTGTACGTGGGTTGACTGTCCAGCTGAGCGTATCGTTCCAGGACAGAATTCCTGGGACGACCTCTCAAACACTGGAGGTTTTCCCGGTTGGATCTCCGTCCATCTCGATCAGGTAGGCATCCTGCAGCTTTGAAACGTGGTTAGTATTTATACCAATTCTTGATGCTGCTAGTGTTGGTCCTCCTTGATGTGTTGGTCTATAGTCTAAAATAACAAACTTTAATGTTCATAAGAACTTGTACAGACATTTCACGATATACAACTTATGACACAACTTATGCTATAATAGATAATCATGCCATGATGCTGTTATACATCGCAAAAGCCTATATATTAGATTAGAATGGAACTGTGCTTGTACAGTTATTGGTGAAATCTGCTGTGTTTGAGCATTCTTCATATCTATGTAGATATACGGGGACAACATAAGAAGATCCTATTAAGAAGGGGGGGGGTATTATCGGGGTGGGGTGGGGGTGGGTAGACACCCCCGAGTCTTTTTGGAAGTTCCCTTAGAATGAGAAAACATTAAGAAAACTTACAACTGATCGTTTGGCATTGATTTCAGTACTTGTATTTTACCTCTGTTTATAGATGCTTCAGCAACTGTAACAGGAAAATCAACCCGTCAGAGAAACTGATTCTGGTGGCGGAGTGTACAAACTGTGAGGAGAACGAACTGGTCAGTTACAACTGGACGTTACAGGAAGCTCCGGACGGGTTTGGCAGGTCCGATTTGAACTGGGACACCGAGAGCACCACGGGAAGAAACCTACCGGATGTGGTTTTTGAACCAGAAGTTTTCACGGTAAAACGTTTTATCCGTAAATAAACAAATTGTCTCTGGTATTATACTATGCTTTTGATCGTTTAAAGGTAGTGTGGGTATAAGGCAGTGTTGCGTATTTGTATTTTTTTTATTGAATAAAGCAATACAAATACAAGGACGAAGTGGGGCTGAACTGAAGTTATACAACTTATTTTACAGCCCCACCTAACATTTAACATACATTCAATAGTCATACAGATTTATATCATTTATATTTATTTATATGTTACAAACAAAACGGAGTATACCATGTAACAAGGAAACGTTTAGTGCCTCTTATAAAAGCTTGGGTAAATAACTTTTTTTTCATTGTACTCGTATTCAGAGGGTATCGCAAACTATCCCCTGAGTACAAGATGGAGCCTGGTACTTTCAGAAAGGGCATCTAAATCAATCAAAGAACCGATTAACACAGAAAGGTTGTTAAGAAACAAAGGACAGTGTAATATAAAATGAGAAATAGATTCGCAGGGGTACCCACAAATACATGAAGGGCTAAGAATCAAAGCACGATTATTTGTATTACCAACATATATTCATGTATACCTATAGGCTCTTGGTGACTACACGTTCAGAGTCGAAGCCTCACTGGACTACGGTCGCCAGGGCTTCTCTGAGTACAGTTTTGAGCCGAACGAGCCGCCTGTGGTCGGAAGCTGCACAGTCAGCCCGGAAAACGGCACGGCCATGGTGACAGAGTTCACTTTTACTTGTACAGGTACGTATGACCTGGATGACACGGCATATTAAGGACGTTTGACATACAGGCCAAACGTCCTTGAAAATACTTAGCCTCTACAATATTATTATTTTTTTAACGGAGTGGTTGAATGCAAGGCCTATACGACCACTTCTCTGCATTGAACTAGAAATATGAGAGAAGCATGGCTATGTCAAGAGATGGCGGTGAACGTTTGATTTGAGAGCCTGTAGATTGTAGGTTGGTGGGAAAAAACTTGTCAGGGAGGGAGTTCCAAAGCTTGGCCGTACGGGGAAAGAAACTGTCACTGTAAAAAGATTTCGAACAAAGAATTTGGAAGTTGTGTGAGCTAGTGGAGAACCTAGTGGAACGTTTGAAATTCTGTAATAAAAGTTATTGTAATAACAAAATTAGTATCTAAACTCAAGTTTACCTAGTTTTATTTAGGAAAGCTTTTGATATTGATGACCCAAATTGACAAAGAGCCCCTTCTATTCAGGTTTCAATTTTGCTAGTTTTCTTCGGCCAAGCTACTGTTTTTGAGGACACAATTTGACAAGTGGCTCCTTTTATACATCGTTTTCCGTAGGGTTTTCTGACTCAGACGAGCCTCTGACTTACACCTTCCTCTTCAACACGGACGCTGCTGCTGGATTTACTCCGCTGTACACAGAAACGGTATGTGTATGTTTCCCCTAAATGTAATAACGTCTTGAAATACCTAAGAATTGATAACCCTCTGCTTTTATCCCTAACATATCGACTCATCACATATGAAGATGTAGAATTCATTGATGACGTTTGTATCATGTCAAGACTTCTTGTGCAAGCTAAAATTCTGTTTTTGACAGGAGCCGACGACACCACCACAGCTCCTGCCTGTTGGCCAAGAGTCACGTGACTTTGTTGTGAGAATCCAAGCTCAAGTCTCGGATTCTCTCGGAGCGACATCGAACGTCGAGACGTCTGTTCAGGTGAGGTGCAAAATGTAATGTTATCAGTCTACATGTAGGTCATTTCAAGTCACTATACCAGAGCCATAATACTAATAATAATATGGGTTTTATTTTAAACATTTCACAGTATTAGCAAGCATTTGTAGTCTTCCTAATGATTCTGTATCTTAACTTGAAATGTTCATTGATTCGCAATTCAGTAACTGGTACTTATAATTAAGTTTACTGCGAATGATCAATAAATAATTGTTGAGTCTTGTGTTACGGAAAATTGGCCAATTAACGATCCTATATTTGTCTAATTTGAGTCCCTATACGTGTAGCCAGGTACCCATGGAGGTCCCGTATCTTTATACGGGATAAAGATATTTAAAGTAAAAAAAAAAAAAACTAATCGACGCAAAATTCAGTTCTCAGCAATGTACGATTCACAGCAAAGAATATTTGTATAGATGTTCTTATGTTGTTCATTTGAATTTTACATATGTTAAAATGGAGGAGTAGACAAAACAGCTGATGAAGATCACCTTTACAAGTTGTCTCCCCGAATGGTAGTAGGATGTAGATATACATGTACAAATATACATATGTTACAATGCTGTGCAATGTTGCAGGTCCTGGCACTTCCAGCAGAACAGTCCACAGCCGTAGCCTCGCAGCTCGTGGTTGGGGAGAACAGTCCTCTAACCCAGCTGGTGCGGGAAGGAGACGCCAAGTCCTTGGTGCAGATGTCCAACAGCGTGACGTCTGTCTTAAACACGGTCCCGACTAACGCGTCAGCCGAGACACGGAGGGCAGCCACTGAGGTATAGATGATCAAAACTTCATTCACTTCATAATGTATTTATGAGAGGGAACTTCTTCAATGACAAAAATTACAATTTGATTTAAACTTATTAATGCAATAGAATAACGCTGGTAAAAAACTGTAACTAAAATGCTTTTCATTTTGTCATCAACAGGCTCGAGAGGCTCTTGTTAGCGCATTGACGACCATCAAACCTACCAGCGTGTCGTCTGTGAACCTTGTAGCGAGCGCGCTGGGCTCGGCCACAAGCGGAGGGGACGACGTGTCAGCGGACTCTCAGGTGATTATAACATACAGTTATATTTCTGAGACTTTCTGAAACATCTACCAAAACATTTTTTTAAAGTGACATTATATATGTTGACGTATGGTGTATAATGATGATAGTGCATAAAATAAACTGAATGTACCAGTTATTATCATCATCATCAAATTAAGTTAGATGATGGACTTGGCGTGTAAATAAAAACACTGCTTGATCTTCTTCTTTCTTAGGTTGCTGCTGCAAATTCCTTAAAGAACATGGCAGGATTTCTTCAGAGTTTACCTCCTGAGGACCTGGAAATAGGCCAGATAGAAAAGTCGTCTTCATTCATGTTTACAGGTGACTTGTTTGTTTCTATGTGGCAAAAAGATACTTAGATGCTGCTTCTTCTGCTTTCCTATGTTCTGCATAGTCATTCATTTAGACAAACATGTGAGTTGTGTATTTTTGTTACTGTGCAGTGAAGGCTCTTTGTTTATGCTCGCACATATACATGTATATTGATTTCTTGTTCTTTCCCGTCAATCAGTTTTATTATAATCAAGAGGAAGAGATCATAGTCTTCATTCATCAAGTTAGTTATCATTACTAACGTTAAAATCAATATCCGTGTCGTATACATAAATCTAGAAAGGGTATCAACTGTTTATGTTACTTTTTCATTAATGAGTGTTTGTTTTTTTGTGCCTTTACAGCTGTAGTCAATATAATGGCTGGATCCTCAAAGGTATCTGACAAGACCAAAATCTCCAATGAGACTGACAATGACCAAGTTGAAAAAGTAAGATACTAAAAATGTTTGCTTGAAATTTCTGGTCTGTAAGATTATCAATTGAGCTATTGCATTACTACGTCACAGTTTGATTACCTGTTCTAAAGAACATCCTAGAACGGTCAGTTAAAGAATAAAGATAATTTTTAGTTTGGTTTTTGCTGCGTCTAGTTTTATTGGCACAGAATTACATGCCATAATGGGTGATTTAGTTGTGACAATAGACGAATGTAGTATAAAGGCCTTATATCAAGGCTAACGCTACACAAACACACACCGCGCGACGCACCCCTGTACATCAATTGACCACAAACTGTCCCGACATTCATTGCGGTAAACCATAACGTGATAATGTAATAGGACCATTGGATCATGGTGGATGTTGTCTTGCTGAACTCTCTTGTTGTGTTTGTTGACCATTTTTCTCGTTATTGTTGTTTAGGCAAAGAAGACAACGCAGGGCATCTTTGCTGCCATAGACACTATGAATGAATTGATGCTTGCCCGGAAACGACCGAACGAGAAGCCGACTGTGATCCAGCAGGGTCCGTTTGAGATGGCCTTACAGAGGCAGAACTGCCGGGACATGAGGTCACAGATCGTCCGGCCCTCGGAAAACAGCGACACGTGGTTCCGGATTCCGGATGCCTCCACTCTGTTTGGACAGTCGTGTGGCCGTGGACAATCCGTGGGGTTTGAGGTGACTTTCATGTTTATCTTTCAAACAAAATTAAGCCACTAAGAACATACGGTCATTATATATTAGCACTATGCTTAACATTTGATGAAGCAACGCGCAAACACCGCATATCTTATTTTGCGTTTTATTTAAATCTTCTGGGCGATCATCGGTTTTTCGCCATCTTGTGTCGGCAAGAATGGCCACGCTGTGCAACGCAATTCTCGGAAAATATCGCAAAATCTCGGAAAATCTCGCTGTGAACTAAATGGACGTAATTTTGACCTTTGTAACAGCCGCTCTCGTAAGAGATGTTTGGAAGATCTTGAAAATGAGAACCATAGCCCACCCTCTATATGTTTAGCAGTAAAATAAAAAAAAAATACACGTAAATTGAAGATTTATGAACACTCATACTCAATATGGAAAATAAAGCATATGTTGAGCAATGGTCTTCTTTGTAAAGGATAATGTTTTTTTCTGACATTAGTTAAAATTTCTAAAATGTATCCTTCATATTTCTTGCTCAACAGAACTACCACACGTCCCTGAACCCATATTCCTACGCCGGCAACTCAGACAAGATTAAGTCACCTCTGGCGTCACTGAAGTTTAGAAGTGACTCGGGTCCTGTCGGGGTCAATGACCTGCAGGTTCCTATTGACGTCATGATGCCGCAGAAACCAGGTACTGTGGTGGTGCAGACAGAGCGTGGGGAGACCACACCGACTGGACAGGACGTCATGTCGGTGAGAAAACAAGAAATTTTTTTTTAAAAAAGGGACGAAGAGGGGAATAGCTGTTTGGGTTGCGTTAGTGTGGTGACGATGTGACACTCAAAAAACTTTGTAAAATTGGTGATTTGCATTGTACTGACGCTTCTCCCATTCATCCTTTCTCTCCCAACTGACATCTGCTTGCAATGTTTTTCATTTATACTGGAATCTATCTGACTCCAACTACCCAATTGCAACGTGATATTTAGCGTAAAACCGCAAAGAGTACGGCAAGACACAATGGGAGTAGTAAGTTTTTCTTCGATTTGTGGATGATTGTCGGGTCTTGCAGTACAGTGTTATATAGTCTTTACCAAGAATAACAGAAATATTGCTTTTTTTCCAGATGCATTCCTTCAACGTTACCGAAGCAGACAGCTCCGTCCATGTCACCGTCACACCTCACGTGGAAGGAATACCTATCCGTTTGTTCCTCGGTATCAACAGCGCCCCCTCCCGACAGGTCTATAACTGGACAACGTCCTTGCCATTAGCGGTGGACTCCATGTACTCAATTCCATTAGGAAACAACTCTTACCTCCGGCCAGATCCGTTCCAGTGGTTTCTGTCAGCCAGTGACTTGGGTCTGACCGGATCTGAACAACTGTTTCTTGGTAAAGTTCCATTATTCTGATAATAAATACAAACATTGAATGAATATACCTGATTAACCGTCGATTCATGTACAAAATTACGAACCTGTATTAACCTTAACCGTTAACTATTTAGTAAAGTAAATTAAATAATTATTAAGTTAACATATCAAATGAGGTATTTACTTGATATGTAATCCATAATTAAGGACCTTATTTTACTATACGGGCGGTTGTTACTGTATTTTAGATTTAAGTGTATCATATTTTTACCCCTTTGTGTTTTTCTCACATTAACCACATAGTATCAACGAGACTCAGTATCATGCAGCAAGTTTAAACTGTAATTTCCAACACAAGAAATTGGACTCACCCAAATTTTCGAATGTACAACTCCAGTCCAATTTCTTGTGTTGGAAATTACAGTTTAAACTTGCTGCATAATGACTTCTACCAACACAGATAAACTTTCAAGATGAGACTCAGTATCAATAACTTATATGTATAAATAATAAACAGCTTACATGTATTAATGATAAGTAAGAAGCACGGAGAAGGTGATAACTGCCTCAGTATTTTGAAAGTCTTCTTGTTTTGAAGGGGTGGACCACGAGCCATTCACGAACGACACGAGTACCAACGATACCACAGTAATGTGGGGTGACCTGTCAGAAGCTTTGAAACTGGGATATGGTGGAGTAAACTTCACCTTGAACTACACTCTCCAGATCTTCACTTCTAAGTGCCTGTTCTTTGATGACGCTCAGCAACAATGGAGCTCTGATGGGTGTGAGGTGAGCAGATATTTTTATTGCAACAGCCCCTAGTTTAATTCCGAACTTCCAGTTCAAGCTGGACTAATTCCATAACTCAACAACCTAACATCTAGATGGGCTAATATCGTAAACTATTAGTAAAATAATGTAAGAAATATAACATTGTATACATAGCAGCCATCAAGGACTCTTTGGGGACTAACCTAATATGGCAGTTCCCAGGCTCCAGCTAGGCCATGTTAATTTGATTATATGGATGACATCCGCGCGCGCATGAATTTTCGGCCGTTTCAAAAAAAAAAGTTTTCAACCATACTGTAAATCGTACAAAACAGTTGCAAAATGAGCAGAAATATACCGTAAGTTACAAAAAAATAAGTAAAAACTATACCAATGTCGTAGAATGCCAAAATCAAACGAAAAAAAAGGAAATGAATTTGAAGATTAGATTATTCGCCAAACCATATTCTGTCCCATTTGTTCAACCCTCATGACCACGTAGATTTCATAATGAAAACAACTTTCTTTTTTGCAAAACTTTTTTTTATTCGCACGCGCGCATCAGTTTTGGGGCTCCCGGAGGATGTCATCCATATAATCAAATCAACATGGCCTTACCAGAATCTGCAGAATTGGGTTAATCCTCAAGGGTCATTGATGTCTGCTGCATATTTATTACATAATTTCTACCCATAATTTACAATATTAGCCCATCTAAATGTACAGTTGCTGTAAAATGGAAATTAGTCCGTAATTAAACTGGAAGTGAAGATCATTCTCGTTCTTCTTGCTTGCTTCTATCGGTTGCCATTTACTATGATAGAAGACAAGATATTCAAGCTTTCCTTTTTCTGTTCCTCCAGGTTGGCCCGTTGACCAGTACTACATTGACCCACTGCCTGTGTGACCACCTCACCACGTTCGGCTCCGACTTCCAGTTCTTCGTGGCGCCGAACTCCCTCAACATCCTGTCGGCGCTTCAGGGCTTCGCAAACATCGGCGAGAACCCGTCGGTTGTCATCACCATCGGAGTCCTGTTTGGACTTTATCTTCTGATTGTGATATGGGCAAGATGGGAGGACAAAAAGGACTTGTCAAAGGTAGGATAAGAGTAAGAATAGTCCAAATGAAATAAAATTTGGTCATCAATCCAAAAAGTTGGTACAGTTGCGGCAGGCATTAACCAATTGATTGTTAACAGTTGTTTATTTCACCCTTGTATTGTTAGGCTGGGCTTTAAAATGAAAACGTAAGCCTTTCATGTCAGAGCTGACTATTTTGTTCTTCCAATGTAACGTAATCTAAAGAGGTCATTGATTATGTCAAACTTTTGTCTGATGGTAATGTTTAGAAATGGCGGTTTCTTATTCCAGGTTGGGGCTACAGTGCTGAGAGGAGCAGGTAGAAACAGCCACTCCTACCAGGTTCAGGTGTTCACGGGAACCCGCGCCAACGCTGGAACCAGTTCACAGGTCAGATGCAAATTTAGAACCGTCTTTATCTCCATAATGGCAATTTCATATACTCAACCAGCACTTTTCTCAACTAGGTTGTCCATCAGACACCTTCCTGAGCTTCTGAATGGAATAATGCTTCTCGCCGCTTTCTGTAATCAGGGGTCGTCTTGATCTGATTATTTTGTTACCAAATGTTGCTACATGCACATCCACATGCATTTACGTATCAATGTATTTCTGACAATAAAATAACGCTCACTGCTAATAATATAGCTGAATTGTGTTTTTGTTTTGTCCCAGGTGTTCCTGGTGCTAAGAGGAGAGTTGGGTCAGTCTGTTCCGTATGTGTTGGAAGACAAAACCCGCATCACGTTCAAGCAAGGCGCTGTAGACACGTTCGTGGTGACGTCATCTGTACATCTGGGTCCTCTACAGTCTATCCATATTTGGCACAATAACATAGGACCCTACCCGTCCTGGTAAGGCGTTTTATTCGTATTGAGACCTTCAGCGTTTGGCTTCTACAATGGTGTTGGAACTTTTACTTACAAGTTGTTGCACGACGATACCAAAAGTAAATGTTCTGGTTATTTCTTTACAAAGCGAATTGAATAATACCTATTGACGTCATAAAATCCATTAAAAAATGTCATTCGGAAAGAGTAAAAGCTGGGAACACAGCTTTCAACAATGTTTGTTTACGTTAGACAGAAATGAGAGAAAATTGCAAGGTTTGTTGCTTAAAATATCGTAATTTCTGGTGAAAATATGTTACATGATGCCCCTTGAAAATGTTTCTTTAAACAATTATTATATTATGGTTATGAATGTGTGATATTTTACTAATTTTATTGTCATATAGGTTCCTAGAGCAAGTTATTGTGACCGACCTTCAAGAGGAAGCCAAACACGTTTTCCTGTTGAAAAGGTTGGTTTTCTTATATTTATTCATCTATTTTGTCAAAAAGTTGAGAAAAGCGTTGTACAAATTGTCTCGTGTAGATGAATTTCTAAAATAGTGAATATTATAGATACATATCATAAGATGTCGTAATGGCTGAAAGTAAGTGAATTGTAGATTTTTTTTTTTATTTTTCTTCGGCTAAATATCATTCATTTATTTTATTTTTGTGTATTTAAAAAAGAGCAGAAAATCCCTAACGAGCCGATGACAGAAACCAAGTTTCTCTGCAAGGCTGACTCCTCATAAATTGTATGGAGAAACGAAGATGGAAATAAAAAGGAAGCCTAAGATCTAACGAGAAGTAACAAACAGATATCAGATAATGATCATAATAATTGAGATAAATACAACAGGAATGAAGGAAAATCTGTATGGATCTGTATGATTCTACTTCTTCCTCTTGTTAAAATCAGCTGGCTTGCTGTTGAAGAGGGAGATGGAAAGGTAGACCGAGAAGTAAAAAAGGCTACAGACAAGGATCTGACCCGGTTTGCTCGTCTCTTCTCCACTAAAACGTCTAAGGACTTCCGCGACGGCCATCTGTGGTTTTCTGTGATTGGTCGGCCTGCAACAAGGTTTGTGGTTTTCTGTGATTGGTCGGCCAGCAAACAAGGTTTGAGGCTTTCTGTGATTGGTCAGCCAGCAACAAGGTTTGTGGTTTTCTGTGATTGGTCGGCTAGCAACAAGGTTTGTGGTTTTCTGTGATTGGTTGGCCAGCAACAAGGTTTGTGGTTTTCTGTGATTGTTCGGCCTGCAGCAAGGTTTGTGGTTTTCTGTGATTGTTCGGCCTGCAGCAAGGTTTGTGGTTTTCTGTGATTGGTTGGCCAGCAACAAGGTTTGTGGTTTTCTGTGATTGGTCGTCCCGCGACGAGGTTCGTGTTGTTCTGATATTGATCTGTTGGCTACAAAAACATTGCGACAGTACGTTGACCTTGGGTAGCAACAGATCCGTCAGAAATAATTGTTCTAAATTATTTAATGGATAATAATAGTTATTTTTCTTATGATGAAAAATGAATTGTACTTATATAATTGAATAGAATTATGATTGCCTCTGAGGGTCAAAATTTTTATTATCAAAAGCAATTCCAAAATTCTTATCAAATGCATGTCCATATGTTTGTCGAATTAGAAGAGTGTTATCTTATCATTGATTTCATGTTATAGGCTGTTACTTACCATTTGATGATGTGATTACTTGCATGGCGTATTTGAATACCAATACTTTAGAACTATTAGTTTTGTCCAAGATCTCTACCCCCAAATAATCGTTTTTTTTGCACCTGTACAGTCCCTTTACCCGAGTGCAGCGCATCTCCTGCTGTCTGTCTCTGCTGATGTGTACGATGCTCACCAACATCATGTTCTTCGGTAAGGGAGAAAGTATGCCGAAGCCACCGCCAGTCTACATCCTGGGGTTCCAAGTACAGTTTCCCATCTCCTGGGGCCAGGTACATACTACACTGCACTACACATGTATTTGCTTGGTTCAGTGCCATATTACTGGAATGATATTGAAGAAATTATTATCATTTGCTTATTACTCCCCAGGCCAGAAGAATATCAACATTGGTTATGCACGGGGTTGAGAGCACCCGTCTCCAATAGTCACGACCGCATTAATAATTATAATTTTTGATTCTATCCAGATGGCCTACATGCACATCCAGATGGCCTACCATATGTTGTCTAGAAGACAAAAAACATGGTAAAGCATTGTGTGTAGAATGCTGAAATTCTACATTCCAACACTGAATACTAAAAGTGCATGTATTAAGCAAACAACACTGTATATTATGACCGCTTCAAAACCATATCCAGTTGCTTGAGTAACTGCTTTTTGGCGTAACACTGTGCTATTTTGATCATACACTGTCAACCACTGTTACTTCTCTCTTCTTGAAACATAGGGAAAAAAATCAGCATACTTTTTAATGTATGTAATTGTTTTCATCTCATGCTCACCCCCACCACTACATTAATTATCATTACAGATAATGATCGGTATCCAGAGTGCTCTGATGGTGATCCCCGTCAATCTGCTCATTGTCCAAATTTTCCGGAATTGCGCGGCCAGACCTTCCAGAAAAATCAGGGGTAAGCGCCTTAAAGATTGTGTTATTACCACATTCATTACCACATCCGTAATTGGAATTAAATTAATTTCTACCATGCAACCGTATCTTTTGCTGTATCTGATATATATTGGGTTTTTATTCTTAGTCTTTTTCTGTTCAATGTTCATTTATTTCTTTTTAATTGTGTTGTATGTTGAAATATATCATTCAAAAGAAACCACAATACGTTTTTGATTTATAAATACTACAAGTCGTAACACTGTTGTTAGTGCCCTGTCCACTGTATAATGGTACGGTCCAAAAAGTGGTGGGTTGTTCTAATAACCGACCACTTTTGAGGTTACGGCCTGGTAACCAATGGCAAATGGAGCCTTCTGATTGGTTGAGGCCTTCTGGCTATATGATAATGGAGAATAATTTTGTTTTTCCTTCACGGGTGGAATGGCACTGTTTTTATAGATATGAGAAACGTACCAAGAAAAGATCCAGAAGGCAGAGCATCCTCAAGGATGTCGTTTAGCAAGGACGATACTGTATTAGACCGGAAATCGTCCTCCTACGAAGTGCCATCAGGGGGTGAAGGTACATCCGCCGCTAAAGTCAGCGAGAAAGTTGTACAACAAGCCAAAGAACAAGACCTCCCACACCAGACAGCCGTTTTGGTCGAAGAAATTGATGATGTGGAAGATGAAAGCTACGACGCCACAGGTATAATGTACTTTGTATTTACGTATTTATGTACTTACGTAATTTATCTCAATAAACTTTCCCCAGATGCATTGAAAGGTGTCTGACGTAGATTTTATAATCATCATTTTTGCCTGTGTTTCAGTGATGCAAAGTGGCCAATCTGAGAAAATTGCTGAGATGGCAAAGAAAAAGAAGAAACGACTTTTGCCATGGTGGTGTGTATTTTTCGGTAAGTTCATCTTCGGTTATAAAATTGACTTTTTTTCTTGTATGCTCGGTCTTCATTATTGGTTTCTAAATTTAGGCCCTGACGTTCCATATAACTATCATCGACAACAAACATTGAATCAATGATCATAGCAATGATGTGTGTGTCTATTTCTTTCTTACTTGAACTAAGTGTTCAATTATACCTTGATATGCATATGCTTGCTACCATGTATACGTGTTTTATGATGCCTAATGATTTATCCTGAGCAACATAAATGTGTTCGGATGGTAGGCTTGTACCAATGTGACGGGGAAATAGACAAGTAGTCACAGTATGTATAACGTTGACGTCTGTGTTACAGCATGGTTCCTTGTGTTTTCCACGTGTTCCCTGTCGGCGTTCTTCACCATGTTGTACGGGTTCGAGTACGGCCGTGAGAAGGCCGAGGCCTGGGTTCTCACCTTCCTCACTTCCTTCTTCTTCGACCTCGCCATCTCTCAACCACTCAAGATCCTACTTATAGGATTCATTTTCGCGTTAATAATAAAGGTAAAGAAAACGCAGATTGTTGTACGAAATGCAAAATGTATAGTAAGACAGACATATGTTAAAATGTTAAAATTTACTAGCATCTGTTTGCGTTTTAGTACCAATTTACGTATATATGAAATAGATACTGATATAAACACTTTTTGCTCATCGACGTATAACACAGTTCCTCTGATATTTTAGAAACCTGACTCCTTGGACGATGACGTCCCTCCAGCTCAACTTTACGAAGATGAGGAGTTTTTTGGACCTCAGGTGAGTGTCTTGTTTATTTTTCACGTCATTTGTACAATGTATTAAAACAGGTCATAGTTCTAGCAAAATGCAAGTATTAAAACAATGGGTCTCATGGTTTGAAATAAGATTAATTTGTAAATTATACAAGGAAAATGTTATTCAAGAAACAGTGCTGATTTTGAAGTAGCATCTACAACTTTTGACAACTGCTATTCACTTGTGTATCTGATTACCAGGATTTCTTACCTTTATCGACGTGCTTATGCCATTGTTTGCCTTAGACTGAAGACCAACCCAAAGAGACAACCCCAGAAGCGACTGGTCCTCCAGATCAGGGTGTACTGGAAGTTGCCAGGGAACAGCGGTTCGTAGAGCTCGGCTTCAGGGATGCGTGTTACGACTTTGTGTTCTACACCAGCTACATCCTTCTCCTGATAATCATAGCGAATGGGAACAGGGACCAATACATGTACCAAATGTCCAACCACCTTCGTGACACCTTCATAGGACCATTCTCAAAGGTAAGAAGCGAAGACCAAGCAGAACCTGCACATATGTAGTTTTACAATAAAGGTCATTCATTCATTCATTCATTCATTCATTCATTCATTCATTCATTCATTCATTCATTCATTCATTTAATTATAAGCGAGGGGAATTGATGTGAAATATTGAACTGATGATCATCGTTACACGATGTTAAGATCAGATTCACGTACTCTGCACTGATTAGAAAAAAAGCCAGGATAGCGAATGTAAAGTATAGCCAGATCGTGTCTATTACCAAGATAGGATATTTTGCTTTTTTTGCTATTTATGACTACTTTTGACCATTTTCATCATTTCGTGATTATTTGCATGTAGAGTAATGGTGTAGCAAATAGAAAATGATCAACTTTGGACGTTGAACGTTTTTCTTTTACTTTTCAGGTCAATGATTTTGAAATGTTCTGGAAATTCGTCAGAGTAAACATGACTTCAGACCTTCACGACGTGAAATGGTACAATGAGAAGTCCCTTAACAGGCCAGGCTTTCTAGAAGACACCAGTAGTTTCCTAGTCGGGCATCCCAGGCTCCGTCAGGTCCGAGTGTCTGCAGATAAAAGCTGTGACGTCCCGGGGGTAATGGCGAAGGTGATGTCTGACTGTGACCGGTCCTACAGCCTCTTGGACAGTGACGATAACAGTTATGACGTCGGCTGGACACATAACAACATGACATTTGACGTAAGAAACTGGGAGAATGTTTCGTACGGCCAGAGACCATGGATATATCAGCCTGCATCGCTTAGCGGTAAGGATAACACATATTTTACAGAAGAAATATTTGCCCAGCGTTTGTTGGTAAAACGTCGTTTGTTGGTAAAACGTTTGTTGGTAAAACGTCGGTAAAACGTTTGTTGGTAACATGTCGGTAAAACATTTGTTGGTAAAACGTCGGTATAACGTTTGCTGGTAAATGTTGGTAAAACGTTTGCTGGTAAAACGTCGGTAAAATGTTTGTTGGTAAAACGTCGCGGTAAATGTCTGTCCGTTTCAGAGGAAATTCAAGCTCTTCTGGTGGATAACTTACGGGGATTATTTTCGGACTTTTCGGGTGATTTTCGTCACTATTTTCAGCATCACAAAAATCGAACTGAACTAGTGATTATTTGATGTAAGGAACTAAGAAAAACGTTAGAGAATGGAAATACTACATCACTGTTATGTAAAAAATATAAAGAAATAAAAAATAATAATCTACGCAAGTTCACCAGCAGTAAAAAAGAAAATAATGTTTTTGAATTTTGTTTAACTGGATCAACGTGTTTACCAGTTTTGTCTGATCTTGTCAACATTATTTCGTTTACGTGAAATTGAAATACACTGAATCTGTAAGTGGGTTTACAACAATGTCTTTTATTTCTTATGTATTCTCGTTTCTTCTACCCAGCGGCTGTTCCTGACTCTGGCGAACATGGCACCTACTTCGGCGGCGGTTACCTAGTGGAACTATCCAATAGCGCCGACATGGAACTGATAGATGAACTGCAGGAAAAGAACTGGATAGACGACAACACGAGGGCAGTTTTCATAGAGTTCATCGTGTACAATGCAAACGCAAACCTTTTCGCTGTCTTCAACTTACTAGCTGAGTTCACCAACCTAGGAAGAGTCTTTCCACAGAGTGAGGTATGTGTTTTAGAATATTGTTTTACTCGACAGCTTCTATTACTGTGAAAGAGTTACATCTAACATCCTATGGTCCACCGTTTTTATATCGCTAGTAAGGCAAAGCAAATAGTTTTTCACAACATAATTACAAGTAAGGTAAAGGTAATCACAACATGTTTTCCTTTATTTTGTTTGCCTTCGAAGAAGGAAAGCATAGTGTCATTGCTCTTTTTCTTCATCTTCCCCTTCTCTTCCTTTTTCTCTTTTCCAAACAAAGTTCAATGACCTGAACTGAACCGGACGTCTGTCACCATGGAAACTATTGTTACAATGTTGCAATTTAATAGTAGGAGGGATTTGGACTCCTGTCACCATATATATGAATGCATTTCAGTCAGAATTAAAAGAGTAGACCTTATGCGAAGGTAAGCATAATAGTATGCATTTGCTTTGCAAATGTTACCGTTCTAGTAAAGTTTGTCTTTTATGCTGTTTAGATCATGGTGGTCCGGTTGTACCCGTACACGACAGCCTGGGGGTTCGTTCTGCTGGGATGTCACGGACTCTTCCTACTTGTGTCTTTGTATCTTGCATATAAAGAAGGTAGGAGGGATTCTTTGCCTTATTTCACTTTTGCCTTAGTTTAACGGTATCATGTATCCGGGAACAGTTTTATAAGGTTAGTTAGTCTTTTTTCACAGCCGATTGTTTTATTCAGCCGACGTTTCGGTGACCGTCTGTCACCTTCCTCAGGGCAATTCTGAATTGTTCACATTGCACAGCACACTTATAGATTTGAAAAGTTAACCAGTCAGAATGGCCCTGAGGAAGGTAGCTGACGGCCACTGAAACGTCGGATGAATAAAAACACTTGGTTAAAAATGCGACTCTTGATTCATTACTACCATGGAAGTGATTGGTCATTAATTATCCTGATGAAGGCTACAGTGGTCGCTGAAAAAATGACCTCTGTGTAATTGTGTGTTGGAATAAAGTTTAACGTTTTACTTTGATTCATTACTGTGTTATTTCTTCGCAAATCGCTGCTTAAATATCGTGTCATTATGAAAGACATAAACATTGATCTTTGTTGTTACACCAATATAATCGTGTTAGGTTGTTGTAAGTATATGTCATATCTTAAATTGTTTCAGTTCGCCGGATACTGACGTTGGGAAAAGAATACTTCAAGATGTTCTGGCGTGTAGTGGAGCTCGTGCTGTCCCTGTTGGCTATGGCGGAAATCGGGGTTCACCTTTATACCGCCTACCTGATTCTCGGCTTCAACACAAGCAAGAAAGAAAACATCAGCGGGGATGAGAGGTACGGCATTTGCATAAACTATGCATTTCTACTATACATGAGACTATCGCTTTTTATACTAGTAGACATCCACAATGTATTTTAGGCACTCTTGAGGGGATGTCAGATGTAGTTTATGCCTTTTTACGGCATATGCAATTTATGCCTTTTTTGGAACCGAATATTAGTATATTGGAAAACACCCTTTCTTCTGCTAACCGTAACGTCTCTATCCATTGGAAATTTGGTTTAGAAATGGCAGTGTCATAGATTGTCATGCAGTTTCTCCTGCATGTTGATAAAAGTACTCTAAAATTACAAGTTACCGCTAATTTTATCATCGAAAAGCTGGCGTGTCATCTATAGTAAACGTGTTGTTTCACCCCACAGATACAACAAGTACAAACAAGCTGCAAGCTGGGAGAAAATCAACACGTACATTCTCGGCTGGCTGGTCTGTGTGGCGTGTTTAAAGATGCTGTATTTGTGCCGATTCAACAAAACCATACAACGTGGACCCAAAGTCGCTAGAAAGTCACTGGCAAAATTGCTCAGCTTCCTGATTATATTTGTCACCTTCTTTATGGCTTTCTCCCTGTTTGCGTACCTTGTCCTCGGCACAAAACTCACCAAGTATGGAAGCTTTGTACGGACCATGCAAACGTTGTTTGGCGTCATGCTTGGAGACATGGACTATCCTACATTGAAGTCTGCACACGACGTACTTGGGCCGCTGATGTTGTTCGGCTTCGTAACCCTTTTCGCCAACATCTTGGTCATGATGTTCCTAGTCATTCTCAGTGATGCCTACTCCGACGTCGTCGAGGAGGAACAAATCCAGGGTAAATCTGAAAATGACAAAATCAAAGAATACGGCGTGTACAGGTTGAGGAAGCTTCTCATGAAAAAGCCCAATAGTGTCGCCATTACCAAGCAGAAATCCGAAGCAGAAATATCTGTCATAAGCGACATGCCGCCATCAATTCCTACAAGAAACATCGATGGAAAGTCGCTGAAGAATTCTTTGTCCGAAGATAAGGCAACATCGGAGAACGACCTGAAACAAGGAGCCCATGGACATCTCTGGTTGGATGACGACTGGCAGAAAGTACGATCGATGTATGCGGGGAAATTTGACGAAGCAGCAGTGGCAGTGGACATAACGTGGCCTGAAGGAGCTTGTGAAAACTCAAAAGTTGGGACAGCTCGGCGCCGCAGCTCAACATTTCAGTCGAGACGTACACTCTCTGAGATTGAAGAACATACTCCTGCTCCATTGAAGCAGGAGGGCTATGGCAGTACTTCGACAGGGCCAGTGGACATGGCGTCTTCGGTTGATGTTGCTAGTGGGAGTCAGCAAAGCGAAGTCCCACCTGCCCGGTCCAACAGCTTATTAGCTCTTCTACATAGAATTCGCCCTTCCAGCTTTGACAAACATTCTCAAAACGACGCCTTGGAGAAAGATAGCGGCAAGGACAGTAATCCTGCAGGGTCAGTAGACATGGCGTCTTCGGTTGATGAACACCAAAGTACTGCTAAGGACAGTGATCCGGCAGCACCTGTAGTTATGGCGTGGTCGGGGGATGTTGCTGGGGAGAATCCAGTTGGAACAGACCGTCGCCGTATCGAACGTCAATCTACCGTTGTCTCCTTCAGCAGCGTTGTACTACCACTTCCAGGGTCAGACTCACCAGTCTAATGTCATCTTGGTAAATGCATTTCTATCATTCCGTCCCGTCCCAAATGCTGCTGTAGAACTGTAGAACGGATGAACAATAGATCAGGGAATAGTGCATGCGTGTCTAGTCCTTAACTGTAATACCCACACACCACCACCACTATACATGTCTCTGAATGTAAGAATATTCAAATTCACGTACCTTTACTTAAAGAATTTTCCTCCTCTGTGCATGTTGTGTATGTCTTTCTTAGTTAGTTTTCACCATTGTCACCTCCATTTTTACCTCCATCAGATAGCCGGGCAGTATCCACTTGCCAGGAGGTTGTCATTTGTCATAAAAAAAGACCAGTACCAGACAGAAAGCGCAATAAAATTTCCTACAAAGCACACGTAAAAAAAACCCAAAACCAAACATATGGTAGGAGAGTATGTTGTATTTATAGTTCTTCAATATCGGACCAATCACAAGTCACATCGATTTGTATTCGTTCGTATCATTTTATTGGAGCTGCACTTTTATATCTTTCATATTCCAAACCGTACAGTCCTTTAGCCGCAATTGAAACAACTGCCATCGTAAGTTCACATGAGAGCTGAAAGGCTTCTATATACAGGCCCTTCGATTTACAAGCAGCCCCGCTTATTAATTTCAGCCACTGTCTACGGAGAGGGAGATAGTCAGCACAATGATAATTTGTTATACAATAATAATAGTAATAAATTAATATAGTTAACCTGTCATAATGTTGTATCTTCAATAGTGGGCCAAGGTGACAATGCATATTTACATGGGCAATATTATATCCATAATTACATACCTGGTGTAGTTGGTAGCTACTGAATATACAATTCAATAATAGGTCTGCCCTTTACGTAGGACCGGGATTTTTATAATAATGATAATAACATCATCAAAAGCATCATCGGCATGGTGGTCTTAAAAAGGTGTACTTAGGTCGACCTGTTCCACCATGTACATGATTGTGTATGTGGTGAATTGTAATAAATAAAAAAATAAATGAATACATCGTCATCGTCCAAAAAGCCTCGGTCACAACTCGCCGTGCGTGCTTTTTGTCCGTACGTTTTTGTCGTGGCTACGTCTGCTACGTTTTTTCTGCAAACGTAGGGTGGCCGGCCGAGGGAGTACGTCACTCGCACGGTTGCGCAAGGTGTACGTACGTGGTCTGCACGACACGCCTGGCCGTCAGCGGTTGCGTGCATCGTACGTTGCGCAAGTGGTAAGTGAGTTGTACGTGCTTACAACGCACGATCTCTGTGCGATTGCTACGTTGCCGCGTACAGGCCGTACCTACACGTGCGGCGTACGCACGGTTTCCTTACTCACTCGCACGTTTGTAAGTGCGTGCACCTCCTGTTAACTTCATCATCACTAGCCGCCCTGGTGTCTTCCGCGGCCCGTTTCTTGGGTCTTGTCTGCTAGTCTTCTTCT